TTGCTTGACTCACTGCATGATTCCTGTGAACACTTGGTTTGAAAAACCCACACCGGCGCTTGCCACATACAAAGATACTACTACCTCACATTTTGACCTGTCCGGAGTACACTCATTGACACAATCTCAGATGGATTCTATTCTTATCAACAACAGATGGAACAACACTATGTCAGAAATATAGAAACCGTACATGAAACTATTCTCAGATCATGCTCTGCTCATTGCCGACATGCATGTTCGCTTTGCCTCTAAGCATTCAAAGAAACAACGCCGCGGCAGTGCTCCAAAATTCCGAGACCCTGCAGCGGTAAAGCTTCTTGTTACTCGTAGTAAGGCACTTGTTACTACTAGCGATGCACTTGTTCCAAGTAGCTTCTTGTTACTACCAGTAAGGCACTTGTTACTACTATATAATGCCCTTGTTCATACGAAAATTTGTTCTGCCAAATGCAGGGGTGAGTGGGATGCCATGACTGCTTTCGACACCTTAGCGCGCGATCTTATAGACGCTGGTAATGCTACCCTCCCTAGTAGACCCTCTGCACAAAAGAAAACATACTTATCGGCTGAGACGTGGCAAAACATTCTAGATAAGCAACTGCGTGAAGGGCATTTTGAACGACTTACTGGTATACGGTATTATCATATCTCTTGCTCGCCGAGATAAAGAACGTGCTACTCTGCAAGAGTTGGAAGCCATGGACAAGGATGGATATCAATTGGCGGGACTCAGAACGGCAAGAAAACCATTTCAACCCAGGCGCTTCAAATTCAAAAACACAGTGAAAATGATTTTCCGGAAACAGCAGCGGATTACTTTGCGCAATGGACCCAAACAAAGAAAATACGCCACTTATTAATGGTGACTCTCACATGGATGAAACCCCCTTTACCCTGTCAGAGCTAGATGCTGTAACGCTGTACTTTCTAAACTTAAGACAACAAAGCTCCTGGACCAGATGGCTGCTGCTCAGAACTTCTCAAATGGCTTTCCCCCCAAAACCGGATATACCTCTTGGAACTCTTCAATGACGTCTTGCTCTCAGGCTACCCGGAATCTTTTAAACTCGCTAACATTGCTACCTGTTACAAAAAGGGTGATGCGTCGCAAATGAACAATTACAGACCAATTGCTTTACTCCAAACTTTCTACAAACTCCTTGCTAGCTTACTCAGAGCACGGTTTATTGACGCCTATGATCACTGGATACAAGGTTCACAATTCGGTTTTAGACCCAAGAAATCGACTGCGCAAACCTTTTTCGTTGCTCGTCGCCTTTAGACATTTCTGAAAGACAGCATTCAAACATGTCAGGTGCTTCGCCGTATCAAAACCCACCAAAAATCATTCGCTTAATTGCGGCTATGTATCACGATCCACAATTCCGGATTTCGAGCGACAACTCTTTTTCCAGCTACCGAACGCACAATTCTGGTATACGACAAGGTGTCCGCTTTCGCCTTACTTATTTACTATTCTGATGTCTGCTCTGTTCCAAGACATCAAGTCAACCCTTAATGCTCCTAAACAACACGAACCTCTTAAAGGCCTCAAATTTGCTGAGGTACTCTATGCTGATGACACCCTTCTATTTGGGACACACACGCACTCAATGAATAAATTGCTTCATGCCATCCAACGCGAGTCCAAGTACTACAACATGCAACTCAATACTGACAAATGTGTAAACCTCACTCTATATCAGAAACAATCCAGCATCCGATATATTGATGGTACCCCTGTCCCCCAGAAACATGAAGCTACATACCTCGGGATTATATTGTCGGATAAAGTAGACAATCACTGCGAAATTAATAATCGCATTGCGGCTGCCATTAAGTCTTGCCATAAACTCAAGCTCTTCTGGGATAAAGCCAACACCACAGTAGTCTGGAAACTACGGGTTTTCAATGCCATCCTGCAAAGCAAGATACTTTACGGACTTGAAAGTATTCAGCTCACGACGCAAGACATCTCTAAACTCAATGCTTTTCAAATGAAGGGTCTTCGTCGAATTCTCAAAATTCCACCCACGTTCATTGATCGTTCAGCAACCAATCAAAGTGTTCAAGTGTTCTGGTCACACTTCATAACACCCACCACTCTCGTACCGAGCTTTTCTCCCACACTTGGAAAGAACGTAAAGTTAAACTACTTGGTCATATTCTAAGATCCTCACCGTTAGATCCTATGAGACAAGTGTTGTTCGATTATAACTCCTTCACTCCGCGTTCTGAATACCGAAGACCTGGAAAACCTAGACTTGGCTTCAAGAAACCTTCAAAGATGCCTTTGGTATGTTGGGCCGTATTGAACAATACGATCCTGACAATGGAGAACACTACAATTTTGTCATCCAACAAGCTCAGACCAGACATGGTATCTTTGGTTGCTAACCTATTTGACACCGAATGCTTCTTCATCGAATGCCGTCACCGAATGTGTCACCTACCTATGGTAGGTTGACTTTGTCCTGCACTGCTCATGATTACCGAATGCTGCAACACATGCTCAGTGCAAAGCAAGTTGGCCACAATGCTCACTATGAAACCTTTTTTCACTTCTCCATCTTCAAGCGTGCCGGAAGGTGATTTTTTCACCATTTCTATGCACAGGTTTCACTCGAATACCAACCACTTTCATACCTGGTTCTTGACATATCTTTTTACTCAAAAGATTCGGTGCACAGACTTCGTGTCTGCACGTTGGAAAAAACAACAATAGTTGGACCACGGCTTGTAGTCCCGTGTGGCGTTTCGTGTGTGTTTGTGTGTTCTTGTTTGTTTATGTTATTTACGGTACTTTTGAGGTTTTCTTGAGGGCTACACGCAGGCTATGCAACTCTGTTCTTTTTTTCCGGAACTGATCTTTTCCGGCATTGACTTGCTTTGTCAGAACATGGGGTGAGGTGGGGTGGGGGTAATGACAAACGTTGCACATGCTACGACAGCAGCGCCTCAGGGGACTCTCCGCACATGTTCTTAAAGAACTTGACGATGCTGTTGAAGTCCAAAATGTGCATTTTCTTATGGCGATTCGGCGAAACGCTCAAATTGAAACTTTCGAGCTCTGCCCCTCAGGTTCAAGGTCGAAACGCATCCACACTGTAAAAAAACTATATAAGTAGTTTGGAGTTTGTAAAAATCTAACAAAGCTTGCGTCTCATTGTAGCGAAGTGCTCATCTTCAGCTCTCCCCAGGCAGTTTGCAGTCTCAACAGCACAAATTCTCAAGCACGTCAGAAACCCAGTCAGGCTAAAGGTTTACGATGCCTGCGGCGTTTGAAAAGCTTGCAAAACCTCACGGCCGTGCATGAGCCTTGGACCAAGTTTCTTGGGTACCGAGAAACCCTCACGGTTTTGCTTTTTGACATGTTGAAAGGATGGTTCTTTCCCTGAAATGCAACTGCCAAGACCAGAAAAACAGCCACTACGGCATTTATGACGACTTAGCAGCCAATTTCATTGATCGGGAGTGTATAGTATATTCTTACTGCTGGTGGTTGCTATCGTGCAAAGAAGCCATTCCGAAAGCACTTTTTGTCAGGCTTGAGAGGGTGACGCATGGGAACACTCGTTGTTCGCATGGGCCGCGACATAATTCATGTTGTGTACCTTGCGTAGATGTATTTGATCGATTTATGAAAGTTTGCTCGTGTGTGAGCTGCATTTCTATCAAATACAACCGGCCGAAACATCTTAAAGAGGACCTTCTTTGCCACGCAGAGCAGCCCTTGAAGGTACAGTATGTATGTCAGTGTGTCCAAGTGGGCCTTGCACGCGCAAGTTCTGCAAAGTACAGTGACAGTATATGGTTGTCGATCTAAAGGTCCTAGTCAGCAGTGTGTATGACGATGACCCGGAACATATCAAAATCTCATTTGGCGAAAGTTTTTTCTCGAGTTGGCGAAAGTAACTTTTTTTTTGGCGAAAGATCTGGCGAAAGATTAAATATGTACTTTTGTATGAATGTTCATTTGCTTTCTGAACAGCTGGTGGCAGTGACTCAGAAGCTAGATGAGCTGTGTAAGTTAGATAACCTGCTGCTGCTGCGGCTGCTACTACTACGACTACGACTACCACTACCACTACCACTACTACTACTGCTACTACTGCTACTACTGCTACTACTACTGCTACTGCTACTGCTACTGCTACTACTACTACTGCTACTGCTACTACTACTACTACTACTACTATTCCTGCTCCTGCTTTGGGGGGTGGCTTTGCCACAAAACTCTACCCCGCAAAAGGCGAAAGTTTGGCGAAAGTTCAGCTCAAGATTGGCGAAAGTTCACCCTGCCACATCTGACCCCCAGCCCATTATGAGTAAGTTTGAGTGACCGGCTACTACAGTGATTCTTGCAATTTTGATTCTTGCTGACACCCAGGAGAAACAAAAGAGACGTACAGGGTGTCAACAGTTAAGTAGAAGACACATGCTGACAAACAGTGAAGTTTCTATTTTGTGTTTGCCAGTAAAGAAGAAGCCATTGACGTGAACAAAACACAACATACATGGCACACATAAATACAACGTACTTCGGCGAAAGATAAAACGCAGGAAGGCGAAAGTTTGGCGAAAGTAAATTGTTTTTTTGCGAAAATGACGGATCCCGGATATAGGAATTTAGATCAACTCCCATATATTAGTAACCTTTTTTGGATCGGACATAAGGCTTTGAGGAGGGCTCCAAGAGAGCCTTTAGGACGTGCACAAAGAGCAGGTTTTCTGCCCCGTGAATCGCGGTAGTTTTCAGAGAAGCGCCCGTGAAGAGGAAACTTGAGGAGCACCTCTGGCTTGAGAAAAACATGTGATGACATGAGCCATGCCTACAGGTATTGAATGACATTATACCTTTGAACACGGAGGTGCAGGGACCACACTTAACGCAGTCGCATGCATTTGCACATGTTACACACACGTTCTTTATTTCGGCCAGCCCCACAAACTATCCGCAGTCTAGTGTTTGCGTTTACCTGCAGTTTGCTTGGCAGGACGAACCACTGAATCAAGAAAAGGCGAGTTCTTTGACATGAGAAGTTCGAGAGATGCCGAATCAAAGCTTGCCTCTGCTAGGTGTTAGGCAAAATCGGCATCACCCCGAAGGAGGTGAAGCTGTCGTGGCCAAGCAATGAAACAACCGTTGCCTCCAGGTTCATGTCTTTGTCATATGAGCCCTTCAAATTGCAGGTTAAGGACTTGAGAGTGGACAATGAACCTCAAGGCCTTCCGCAGTGCATCAATCCAACCTAATAGTGATGGCCTCCAGCCTCCATCCTAATAGCAATGGCCTCCAACCTACTAGCGATGGCTTCCAACCTGGAAGCGATGGCCTCCAACCCAAGAGCGAGAGTGCATTTCATTCATGTTATTCTGTTGGAATTGCAGGTATGGATATCTCTCACAACTCTTCCCGCAAAGATGCAGAGATTGTGTCTGAGCCCGGGGTGTGTTGGGATTCTCTATTCGGACCTTACCAAATCTACCGAACATAATATTATTCTTGAAACCTCTTTTATACACCTGCTGGACATACTGAGGGAAGATAGCGTCGGAGCACTTGCCCCCTTTGTCATCAATGGTGGCATCGTTGAGGCTAGGACCGGTAAGGATGTTGCAGGCAGCTTTTGCAACCAGAATTTTGCCGTCAATATTTTGCAAAATTTCTGCCAGGCAAAAGAGTTTACCTTTGAAATGAAAGACATGTGGCGCAAGAGTGCCATGAAGCTTTCTGCGTGGGAAAACAGTCAATGGCTTACTCTGCGCAATTGTTTTTGTCACTCCGTATATATACAGTATACAGTATACAGTGTAGTTATATTCCTGGTTACCCTTCAGCCAACTGCAAGGCCTGTCGACTGAGCTGACACAAGATCTTGAAAGAGTTGCTCTGCCAACTGGTACCGTGGTGGGTATCTGAGACCGCTCTTCTAGACAGCTAAACACGGCTTTGACAAACATCGGGAACTAGCTATATAAGCGAAACGAAATCCTGCGTGAGTTATCCTGCGTCCTTTTGTAGTAGCTTACTTGCAAGTACTACCTACCTACTGTATCTACTACCTCCCTCTATGGCCTACCCCCCCGGGCTTTAAGCAAAATCTTGGAAGATCCCAATGTGAAGTGAGGAGCTTGGTGCACATCCGAGCCCGGGAGCTTCAAGCATGGCCCGTAGAATTCAGACGCCCTGGCAAAGTTGATTTCCGCTTTCCTTGCCCTGCTTTCTTCACGCATCTCGCTTTCGGATTTTGCCGATTGATCTCATTGTCTGTGCCAGACTCCCTATGAGTCCAAATGCTCCAGCGCGACTTACTTGGGATGTGGCCAGCATGGTTCTTATCAGCCTGGACCCTTAGAGGACAGCCAACTGGAGCAACATCTCCTTGTACTACTAGTAACAAGAAGCTAGGCTCCTGGCCTTACTACTAGGAGCAAGGACGCTACTAGGGGCTCCTGGCCGTACTACTAGCACCAGGAGGCTAGTAGTAACATCTCCTTTAATCTTCAGCGCAAGGAAGTCAACGATTCCCAAGGCTACGACGTTTGGTGGATCCCATTGCAGTGTTTTGACCCGGCGGAAAGCTTTGTACACCCGTCCACGTGTTCAGGGGTTGCGAGAAAGCGTTCGCTGTATCGTGGTCCCACTCAAGATGTTTTCTTTGTTTCCACTTGTTTGCAGCAAGAGACTGATGTTTGTGCCAGTTCACTACAATGATGGGTTGGATCTCGCTTATCTTTTGGACATTGGACATGGCAGCAACACTGATGGTTCGAGCCGTAGCCCTTTCCGGAGTGCTGTTCAACATGTACAGCATATGTTTGTAAGTGATAAATGAGTCACACACCATTCACAACGTTCTTTTTTGAAACCTTTCGGAACCCCAGGTTGGCTATTTTGACAATGGCGAGCTTGTCCTATCACCGAAGAGGATAGCATATCGGCACCATTGCTGCAGAAGTGCAAGATGTCAAGGTTGCGAGATCCAAAAGCGCTGTGTTAAACAATATATGGAGCTTTAAAAGAAGAAAAGGATAGAGAAGGCCTAGAGGAGTCTAAAGGTCACACGACAAGCATGAAAAGAAAGACATTTTGAAGGAAGGGTTCTTCCTTCATTTAGTTCCTATTTGGTCTTTGGGGGGAGCCATGTCCACCCGAGCATCGTAGCAAGCGTAGACCGTCGACCACGTTGCATCGTCTTGCATCGTCATTTGAGGTACCTTCGAACATGGTTTCTCCCTGACCTGATCGTTGTACTTCCGGACTGGTTCACTCGTGTAGTGAACACTGAAGGCGGAGATGGACTAGCCACAGCCAATTGGCTGCATAGAAGCTTTTCTAAGCCAGTCAGAAGTCGACACCCCAACACGGTCCTTCAGTTGGAGTTTGCAGGAAAAGGAGCAGCAATTTTTGCCACAAGAGCACCTGTGTAGTTGGCAGTTAAGTTTCCCTAAAAATCTAGGAACCAAATCATTAGTGCGAGCGCTTCCTCAAGGAAGCTTCCCCCGCCGCCTTTAGGGCGGCCGGGGGAGCTTCCTTGAAGAAGCGTGAGTTATCCTGCGTCCTTTTGTAGTAGGTACTAGCTACCTAGCTTGCTCTACCTCTACACGGCCTACCCCCTTTTAAAAATCCCTTATATTAATAAATAGGCACCTACTTAATTAGGAGAGGGCTTTTAACACATCAATTCACTCATTGAGGCTGCAAGGATGATCAAAGGCTTCCGAGCTATTCGAATCCTGAGACTTCTGCGGCTGTTGAAACTGCAACGTTCCTTGGAGCAGTTCGTGTTCTCTTCATTTTCTGCGTGAAGAAGTTCTTCGGATAATGGAAGATGATCATGATGAAGCTGTTCATGCTGTGCTTTCCTTTCCAGGCTTGATGAACATGGTGTATGACTTGATTGACAGTGAGTACATGTTTATCGCAGCTTGGCTGTGGCATTCTTGCAATCTAATCAGGCCTGCACTCAAGTAGTATACATGCTTCCTGCTTGAATTGCGAGGTTTTTACCATGATCCGCCTCATCGTTGCAATCACGGCTGCATGCTCACGAGATACTTTTTCTATTCTAGATTTGACAATATTTGGGAAAGACAAGTGAACAAAGCTGAGCAAAGCGACTGCAGCGAGGTGCTGAACCATGTTATTGCTTGCTTATGGTTCCTCGTTGGCTCCCTGACTATGTCAGCAAGTGAGTACCTCAATTGGCCAAAAGGAAAGCTCCTGCTTGACCAAACGACTACCGAGGTATGCCAAACTGGTTGCAAAATACAGGAGGGCAAACAATCAGCAATCCGCACTCTTGGAAGTGGCCTGCAGATGCAAGCAAGTGTGTCAGCTGACAGGACTGAGTCCCGTCAATGAGGGAGAGTTCGCATGGAAGCATGATCCCCAGTTCTTTTTGAATCTTACAGAGAAGCGACACTCGCTGTTCACTCTGTCTTCACTCGTAGGTATCTTACCTCCCTCCACTGGAGCCTCACGCAGTTCACACCTGCTTCCATGGATGTCAGTGCCCGGAATGAGTACGAAAGGGTCATGTCAATTCTTGTCATGTCCTTAGAGAATGGGAGGAAGATCGACATTTCTTGGTTCGGGAACGTTGCCTTGTCACCTTTGCTCAGGTTCTATTCTTTTCGTTGGTGGCGTTCTCTTCAATCGTAGGAGCTGCATACTTCTTTCAATTTAGAAGCAATGCATTACAGCCTAGCTGGATCTATTGGTAGAGGCTCAAAGTTGTTTGTGCATGTTGTGCAGGAAGTGTCACAAATTCCATGACGGCTCTTCGCAACATGAGCGGGGACAACAAGAAGAAACTCGCTTGAATAATACACACACAATGACTCAAAGGTCAATCCGAGCTGAAGGGAAGATCCATGATTTTTTGAATGTGAGGCAATTCTGGCTACTCCGACGTTTCCTGAATCACAAAAAGATAGGCTGGGTGGACGAGTACGTAGAGCCGTCACATCCGCTGTTCATATCGCCTCTCAAGGTAAAACGACATCAGCGAGAATTATCCGCTTTTTGGAGCATCAGACTGCCAATCAGCAGGGTGATGTGAACCCAAGTCAGAGACACAGAATGCCTGCAGCAAGGAAGACTGTTTTGCCGCAAAATACACTTAGGCTCGATCATGATTCTGACCCTTCTCTCCGCACAGGGCTCAGGAACAGATGAGGAGGAACTCCTAGTGGCTTCTTGTTACTAGTAGTAAGGCACTTGTTACTAGAAGCGATGCACTTGTTCCTAGTAGCTTCTTGTTACTAGTAGTAAGGCACTTGTTACTAGAAGCGATGCACTTGTCCCTAGTAGCTTCTCGTTTCAGATTTTCCTCAAATTCATGCCGAGGAACCATTGAAGAATCTCTTAGCATATGAACTGAGCAAGAAGCACGTCGAACTTCACCCGTTCTTCAACCACCTTGAGCAGCTTGGTCTAGGCTAGTGTTGGTTCAATCTGCTTGGTCTAGGCTCCATTGCATTCTTTGCCGACTCAGGAAAGAAATGAGTCCAATTCTCGTGAAGCTGTGTGACACGGTCCTTTCCGCAGTCGATTTAGCCAGCCATGCACCCAGGATCATTGAGATTGTTTGGAGTTGCAGTAAGCGCAAGCCAGTCTGTTAAATGCGCATCTACAGTCGTTGCACTGGGCAGATGTAAGGTGAAGACGTCGTTTTTCATCCTGGGGAAGAGGGGGAAAAGATGTACTTTGTCAAGAGCGGAAACTTGGAGTGCGCAAGGGGCTGCAGTTGCTTGATTGTCGCCTATTTGTTCGATCATGTCATTGTCACTGCAAAATAACCCACAAAAACGAAGGCAAACCGAACATTAAAAACACACAGGCAAAGCAGGTTTCAAAGTGAAGTAAAGCAAACATCAAGTTTGCATAAAAAGACATAAAGATAAGCAAGCTATTAGGTTGGGGGCCATCGCTACTAGGTTAGAGGCCATCGCTACTAGGTTGGAGGCCATCGCAAGTCACTACAGGTACATGCTCCCCAATGGCGATGTCCTCAAGCCTCGCCTCCGAGAGAAGGCACGAAATGTGCGGGGGCGCATGTGCCCTCTGACACAAACATTCACGTTCGACTCGCAAAGGAGAAGAGGTACGAAATGATCAATGATGTTGCCAATGCATTCTTGATGTCGACAATCTTTGAAGAGGGAGTAAGAGGTGGAGGATATGGTTGGTCTTGTGGTTTGAGAGAATTGCAGTTGGCCAGGCATGGTTGTCCGAAGCAGTTCTGTGGACAACCTGGTGGCACCGAGGTGAATTCAAGGTACAGAAGCAGTTCTTTTGAGCTTTACAGCTTGAGCGAAGGCATCCCTTACTGCTTTCCAACCGGCATTTTCATCGATCGTAGGCCATTGCTCCTTCACAACTCGCTGTCATCAGACCTGGTCCATTCGCAGAGGTGCCAAAGATCGACCATGTAAGGTGTTTCTTGCTCTCATGACTGTCCAAGGTTATGAAGATACACCCGCGACCTTGGAGCTTTTGCAGGAACTACGCAGAACTTTTTGTGAAGTGACTTGGCCAGTACACCTATCGGATCTTATGGGCCACAAATCACTTTCAAGGTATTCCACGAAGTGACTATATATGCCTCGAACGTGAAAGCTTTTTGGCAAAATGGCATGCGACACAGCGCTGAGGTATCTCAACCAGAAGAGTCACAAAAGTACACTGACGGATGCCAGTCCAGCTTTGTTTTTTTTACCTTCAGTCCTGGGTGATGTGCTGGATTTGACTTTGATGGGACAAGTTGCTGCTGCTGCCCATCTTCTTTTGCCAGGTCATTTTGAACTCCGACTATTTTGGCAGCCACAACATCATGGGCTGTGACAAGGACTTTGAAGTCTGGTCCCCATAGTGTCAGAGAGTCATAGAGTACGATAGTGCATTGAACCTCGTTGTGCCGCCGTGCTAAAAGCCAACCTTCATGGCTGAGGTTGATATGGCCTGCAGGAAGACGGCCATAAATTTGGCGGAAAGGCTGAAGTTTCTTTTTCTTTCACAGATAACATCCCAAAAACAAACTTCAAAGGTTAAATTCTTGTTCGCAGTGAGAACAGTTCAGTCCAAGACTTATACAATGTTAATATAAGCTTTTCCAGCAGAACGGGTAGTAAGGAAAGCCTGCTTGTTCGTAGTAGCAGGGGGCAGTGACATCCTGGGGGAAAAGGATCGGTGACTGCCTGTTTTTCGAGTGAAGATGCATCCCTTCGGAAGAATCGCATTCTTGAAGAATTGCTAGGCCTGGAAGTTTGCCAGCAGAGGTGGCGCCAGAAGATCCTGCTCCTCCTGTGCCAGACGAACATGGACCGCTACCATTCTGATGGGCTTATATTGTATTCTTTTGTTTTGCACTTGAGCTTTTTGTTGAGGGTATATGATGTTTTATCCAGCCGAGTCTAAGTCCATTTCATCGTTGAAAGGACAGTTGCCGCCAGACGAACGTATTGAAGCAGCGAGTTGCTGAGGTCTTCAGATCATTTGCAAATTTCCCAATTTGCCGGCAAGAATCAGAACAACACAGGGTGAATTCAGCTCTTGTTTGCGTCACACCTATTGTGACCAGAGAATGCTCCTTTGGTAGATCATTCTCTCAGTCTGCTGTTGCCAGCAAAACAGGTCAAGTTTCACAGATTTGCGAACATTGTGGCAAAGAACATGTCCCAAAGTTCATGTCCAGAGAAACCCAGAAGTGCGATCATTTGTGGCGGTTGGAATTGGAAGGACACATACCTGAATTGTCTTGCGGGATCAATAGAATATCTTTTCCTTGTCAAAACCCGCCTGGACTTTGCACTTCTAGTGGCACTGCGGCTGGGCTGGGCTGATGAAGCAGCACAGCCTGTTCTGCTACCAATTAGGTGCATGGTGTGATACCGCTAGCACCAATTTCGAGAACAAAAGACATGTGTGGCATGTGGCACCCGTGGCTTGTGGCCCTCCACTCTAAAGCATGCCACGCTGCTGGCATTGGCATGCATCTGCTAAGATATGCCGCGCATTGTTCCTGAATGCTCAGTGTTGGAAGCGTTCTTGGAGGAAAGTGCCATAGTGCCCTTACATTTGCAGTAGGCATCAGATGGCAGATGATAGCAGCATTTGTGGTAGACATCATTCAAAGGAACAAGGCCTTCAGAGAGCCTTGCAAGTGTTCCGGGAAGCCCAGAAGATAGTCAAGAGACCTAAGACCATATCTGAGTACGATGCACTCAGCAGATCTAGTAAGTAGCGACTGCCCAAGCGTTCGGTGCCCGACTCGAACAAAAAGCAGACTCAGCGCAAGGCAAAGTGACGAAGACTAGACACAGCTTGACAGCCTGAGAGCCTGAGCTCGACAACGGGATGGCGCCGTCACCAGCGGAGGCACGCTTCTGCGCAGCCTTGCCCGACATGCTTGAGAATCCTGAAGCTGCGCAAGTGCTGTGCATAACGACATGACAACGACATAATGTGAAACGATACACATGCAGACCTGCTGTCTTTCGTGCTCCCTGCTCCAAGGGGTTGGAGACTTAGTTTTCTCTTCGCTGTGGAGAGATATCACTTGCATTCAGTTTCGCTTTTCGGCTGTTTTCATCTTAGGTTCAAGTGATATCAACATACACAGTTGCCGCATGGCCTGCACTAGGAACACAATGACCATACAGACACAATTGTTCTTGAAGCATTGTGGAATGTTTGTGACGCCTGCGCCTGCTACGCATTGCTGTTGGAAAGCTGTTTCGATCTCTTCCACATAAGAAGGCCGACGTGGATAGCAAAGATGAGAGTTGACCTTGTGCAAAGTTTCCCGGAACCACACGTTTGAGACAACAAAAGAAGACGGTTCTTCTGGCAGACACCATATACTGTATCAAGAACATATTGTTCATTGCGACCGCATGGACCCAGTTGACACGGTGGCCAAGCTAAATCTCCGGACCCAGTTGACCCAGTTGAGGTCAACTGGGTCAACTGGGTCAACCGGGGTCAACTGGGTCAACTGGGACACCCTGTTCAACTGGGTCAACTGGGACCACAGATTTAGCGGCCCCTGTGCCGACGCACTCATATTTGTGTGTTTTTGCTCGCCAAGCTTTGTTGGGAACACCCATGCTTGTGGTGCCTTGTCAGTGATCTATCACCAACATGAAACAGGACATTCAGCCACAAGTGTGCAACTGTAGACAGACTGAGGTTTTCGGAAGCTTCAACATGTTGGGAGTGCTCATGGGCGGGTGCTTTGCCTTTACCATTAGCTTTCCAGTCTACAACCCCTTCTGAAAGGTTCCACTATGCGTGGTGGATGTGCGATTCACAAAAAAAGAAAAAGTGAGTTCAGACTCAGTCAGAGACAATGTCAAAGATAGACATCCAAACCTGCTGCTGCAGGCCTAGGGATATCCAGGCTCGTTCTGTTGTCCTGGCTACCGTTGAGTTTCTCAAAATGCAACGTACTCAGAACATCCAAGCTGCCTTTGCGGTAAATAAAGCACAAGTTGTGCCCATTGAGAATGTCCAAGGATGGTGCACACATTCGCACTCTTTGCTGGCTTCAAGGGCTTGATCGGGGTTCTACTAAAAGATGTGGTGCCTTTCCACGTTTTTGACGACTTTTGTCTTGAAGGAAGGTGCAGGACAGAAGGGCATGGATTCAATCTGTCAAACCTTGCACACCAAGGCCACCTTGCCGTTTGGTTCAAGTGAAAGAAAGGAACTAGCTTGGAAGCCAGCCTGCTCAAGGAAGTGGGATGGGCACATCATGTTCTTCTGGCATACGCAAAGCCATCATGGGCGGCGGTTCACACAAGGTCTGCGTTTGCGGCGGTGCTGGTGGGATTGGGCAGCCGCTGTGCTTGTTGATGGCCATGGATCCCAACGTCAAAGAACTGGCCATTTTTGATCTCAATGTCGCGATGGTGCCTCCAGACGGAGTCGCTGCTGACCTGGGTCACATCGAGAGTAAGGTCAAGGTGACTGGACATTCTTTGAATGTCGGGAATGCTCCCAAAGACCACTTAACCGAGTGTCTATCAGGCTGTAGTTTAGTTCTTGTTGCTGCCGGAATGCCGCGCAAGCCTGGGATGACAAGGGATCATCTCTTCAAAGTGAATGCAGACATTGCCAAGGGCATTGTCGAAGCTTCCGCGAAGTTTTGTCCTCAGGCTGTTGTCGCATTGATTGTGAACCCGATAAATTCAATCGTGCCTGCAATGGCTGAGCTTTACAAGAAATCCGGACTTGACCCGTTGAAGATAGTGGGAGTCACAACACTGGACTGCGTTAGGGCCAACAAATTTGTGGCTGATGCTGTTGGTTGTCATCCTAGTAGTGTGGAAGTTCCGGTTATTGGAGGCCATTCTGGAGTCACCATCATGCCGGTTTTTTCACAGGATCCAATGGCAACAAAGATCAAGCAATCGACACTGGAAGCATTGGACAAGAAAACTCAGGATGCTGGCACAGACGTTGTAAATGCAAAGAATGGTAAAGGCTCTGCGACGTTGTCAATGGCCTATGCAGCAGCGCGCTTAGGGAAAGCCATCCTTGCTGGAATGTCAGGCACGTATTCCACGGAGTGTGCCTATGTCAAGTCCGATGTCACCGAGCTCCCCTATTTCAGTTCTCGTGTTGTCTTTGGGAGGGGTGGTGTCAAACAAGTCCTGGATATTGGACTTCTCAACGAATATGAGCCTTGCCTCCTCAAGAGAAAAGTTTTTTGATATTGAAGGCTTTTGATTGTCGCCGGCACATTCTTTTGGTCTCCGCCGAAAGTATCCTTTGTTTGCCACACGGAGTTTGGAGTCCATAGTCCCACCAAGGAAGAGACACGGCTTGAGGAAGTTATCGCTGCTTGATCGCACCTGAGATTGTCAAGGGTCCTGGTTCCTGAAGCAACAATCACTGACCGGTCTTGAATCTTGAACATAAACACAACCAAACATCCAGAAAGAAGTACCAAACATAATATGTTGCAGGTTCCCATTTACGCATTAGCTATATATATATATATACATACATAGAATTGTACTCAATCCACTCTGTAAGAGCGGAAGAGGAGGCACTCTTTTTCGCAGTGAAAGCAAGTGACAGCTTTGGAATGTTCAACATCTAGATTCAGACAAAAGCTATCACTGAGGTTCAGCTGAAATCTGAAATTCAGACTGGTCTCAAATATGCAGAGCAGCGGACTCTCGGCAGGTGAGCTAGCCAAGCCGTGACCTAAGCCGAGAGTCCTTCCAAAGGAGCTTTGGCGGTTTCACAGTTTCACCGAGTCTTTCACAAATCGTTGAACAATTATTGGACTGCCGCGCCGCCATATTTAAAGGACTTCACACCCTGTAACTTGATTTTGACAAGTTCTCTTTTGCCAGTATGATAGTTATGTCAAAAGGTCAGTCAAGAACAAGCTGTTTTAGTGTGAGTGTGTTGTTCAAGGCGGTGTCAGCGTCCATACGCATTTTCATGCAGCAGAGTATGCATCTTGGAAAAGAGTGTGCTGCAAGGGTTCCAGCTTTCTCACAGTTTCATCCATTCCTGAACTTTTAGCTCGATGTGCCAGGAGCGTCTCCGTGTTTTGATGCTGTATCATGTTTGCTCGTTGCTGCTTCTTTGTTTGGAGCTCGTGGTTGGCTTTGTGAAGGCCTGGGCGCAAAAGCCCAAATAGTTTGCTTGCAACATGCTGTGCGGGCCGTGCAGGGATGTCAGGAGCTTGAGATGCTGCAAAAGATTACTCATCGGAAAGAGATCCTGCAGCGGTCTTACTATGGCAAAACATTGGCCTTCTATCTCTCATCGCTTATGCCAATTCTCAAAACCTTTGCAGAATGAAGACATGGACACTGAGGAAAATGGACTGCAATACATACCAGGCCTTGGGCAGCCCGAAGTACGTGTTTTCTTTGTCTTGCTACTAGTAGCGTCCTTGCTCCTAGTGCTTGACATTCGGCATTTGGAGCCCTTTGGAGTGCATGTGAAAGTCCGCAATGATTTGTAGCTCTAATAGCGATGCCCTTTGTTACTACTAGCGAGGCACTTGTTACTAGGAGCTTCTGGTTACTACTAGTAAGGCACTTGTTACTAATAGCAAATTAGCTACTAATAGCGATGCCCTTGTTACTAGTAGCGATGCCCTTGGCTACTAGTAGCATCCTTGCTACTAGTATACTCAATGCTTCGCGAGGCGCAGCTATGTGTGAAATTTGTTTTCCAAGCAGGCACGCCATTGTTAGTATGTAACATGTTCGAGGACAATTTGTCGGATGCCAAATTTGTTTTCGTCAAGAAGTGCTGCTACTACAGGCTTAATGACCTACTTTGCCTTTATCATTTGGAGCCTCATTGTGCGCATTGAGGCCATAGATGGGACTGACGGCCAAGTCAATCTTTCCCGTTTTCTCTCTCTCTCTCTACACTTGCAAGTGATTATACATCAACATTATAAGAAAACGTTTCCAATGTATTGATCATCCTTTGCTGATTTGCATCATCTCCGACATACAAGGCTGGTGAGCTTGGCGAGCCATCACTACTGCGAGAGCAGGACGTGCCAATTGATGTTTCTTTGCAAACATTGTTACTAGTAGTATGGCCAGGAGCCCCTAGTAGCGTCCTTGCTCCTAGTAGCGATGCCCTTTGTTACTAGTAGCGTCCTTTGTCAGCATTTCATGCCTTTCCAACAAGGAGCTTGCTGACCGGGCCCTTGGGGATCCTTGGTACCCTGCCAGCACAAAGAGCAAGAGTGAGTGGACTTGCAGAAAGGGATTCCACACTGGGACAAGCGGCCTAAGAATCAAGTGCTTCCATGATTGAGAATCCTCAACCTTGCATGTAAGTAAGCTGTGCAAGCTGCTGTCAGGCTCTTTGTCCAGACCCCTGGTGAATCAGCCACCTTCTTGAGACGTGTCCAAACCTTACGCCTCTGACTGCGACATCCTGTCTTGTATTAACTCCGGAAGAAACACAATGTCGCAATGCAGGAATCGAGAGGTCACAATGTCAGAAGCCAAGAATAAACACTCGCTTTTTGGCCGCACAAGTTCTTCGAGCATTTGGCCAGGCAACTCCTACTCCCTTCTCAGGAGTGCCCAGAAATCTGGAAGATCACGCTGTGGGCTCAGATGATGAGAGTCAGTTCTTTTCATCAGATCTCCAAGCTTTGGACAGGAATCTCAAGGACATGAGCAAGGATCTGTGGAAGCATTTCAAGGAACTCCATACCGTTTGGAGTGACGTGCACATCTCAATCGGCTTCTTGTGACTTGTGTGGACTGGCTGATGTTAACAAGTCAGTTGATCTGAACCTAGTGCGACATCAACAGGCTTGCAAGGCTTGCCTTGCTCACCTTGAAGCCTAGAAAGACCTGAGTGCTTGGCAAGGGGAGCTACTTGCATGGTTTCACCAATGTGATATAGCCCAATCCAAAGCGTTGTGGCACCAACTAGTCATCTCAAAGAAGTGAGAAAAGAAGCTCAGATTTTGAACAGGTTTGCTATTCTTGCAGCTCTTTGTAAATAGAGCCACACATCTTGATAGTGTGTACACTATGCTGCACCATTCTGCACTGTTCAACAGAAGCAGCTGTTCTTGTTCACATTCTCAAGATCTGCAATTTGAAACTGGGCGGACATGATTATGAATGCTTAGAATAGATTCGAATAGAGACCTATTCGCCCAAGTAAACAATTCACACCCAATATTTGTCAGACCACTTCGACAGAGGCAGAATGCGTCGTCCAATGCCAGATTTGCAATGGCTGAAGAGGTGCCCAGACAAACCACTCGGAAGCACCCAGCTTCCCCCAAAACCCTGCGTAAAGTGTAAGAATGTTACAAACTCCGGAGTTGTCGACAACTTAGAAGGCAGGCACAAAACTGACGAGTTGTGACATAGTATACTTGGAAATCTATCAAGGATAAGCAATTCAAGTTGGTGCTGCAGCACGCACACGAGACAACCGCCAACAAGTGTGTGATTTGGACGGTCAGACTGAGACCGTCTTGAACTACTCACTTGCTTACCACTTGTGCAGGTGATCTTCAAAGGAGCTCCTGTCATAATCAAAGGGCTCCAAAAGGAAGAGTGCACCCCTTAGCCATTAACGAGCACCTCTTTATTCGGTGACAGTTTAACAAACGAAGAAAATACTGTGCATAAAAGAAAGGAAAATGACTGACTAGTCCGAAGCTCAAAAGAAAAACAAACATATAACATATTCACTTATCAACATAAGACACATATAACAGGGAAAGAGAATTAGACTCAAATGGCAAGACTTCGCAGGTCTGTCCGGTACAATGGCCAGAAGGGAACGGTTACGGCTGGTCCATTTGACAACGGACGCTACGAGGCCTTCAGATGCCTCTTGCCCCACCTTACCACCTTTTCCTTAGTGAAGTGTGTGAAAAGCGAAGTATGCATGAATGAACATATATATATATATACATAATTATAAGCAGTGCAGTGATTTGTCCTAAGATTTTTTGGCTTTTGCAAGTCATGGTGTTTCCTGCTCGCTCACAGTGCCTTGATGTTTCTGCATTTGACTACTCTGTCACACTGTGCTTCAGTGAGTCTGAGTTCTTAAAACCCCACAGAAAGGTCACCTGCATGGATTTCGCTAAGTTCCTTATAGCCTGCATTTCGGCCGGAAATTCTACATCACACCGTTCCCGCATTGATGCATGCGAAACACAGCGGCATGTAGAAGATTGGACACAACTCGAGATGTTTGTGTTTACAAGGGAACAATTGTGCTTCAGGTGACTTTACAGGGAGGAGGCTACAAGGAAGACAAGGCCTGCGTACAGAGGATGATTTGCTTGCAAACATGCTGGAGAGGTGCACTGAGACAGTTTGCCAAATCGACAGTCAGCCGTAGCTGTACCTTAGCATGATACTGTATATATATAACATATATAACATACGTATGTAATGTATATAATGTACTGTACTGTACTGTGCTGAAATGTATGGTGGTATGTATAAAATATCCCAGCGACCTGAAAGCTGACAAACTGTGCAACGTCTTTGTGAAGTGCCTTTCCGTCGTTGGCATTTTGGCCCCCACCTCGCAATGGTACTGTAAGCAGAACACGTGGGTTGAATGTGATTTGCAATAGCCACAGCATTGGTCTGTGCAGCTGGCAGAACTTGGAGCGCAAGTGCTGACAAAATGGATTGTAGGATGCTTGTCTACGGTCGGCCAAAGCTCGGAAGGCTTCATTGGTTTAGTCAGCCAAATATCACTGTTGAGTCACATTGTTTGTGCGCTGGTCTCGGAAAAGATCCAGTCACCCAGCACGGAATCCATTTACGGTATGGAGAGGGAGGAGAATTTCTGAGAAGGGGAGGTTAGAGACACAGATTAAACATGGTATGCAATTGGTCAAAGAGAACAGGAGACGATTCAGAAACTAGCTCCAATTCCGAAACTATGATTCAGAAACTTGCGATTATGATACTACAGAGTGTCCTGATTCAGAAACTCACCCGATTCAGAAACTAGCCGATTCAGAAACTGGGTGGGTGGGATGGGGTGGGGATCTAATGAACTGTTTGTGTTGATGTAGCGTGGACATATTCCCGATTCAGAAACTATCCGATTCAGACCCGTTCTAGTTTCCTTTCCGCGCTCCTTCTAGTTTCCGAATCCTAGTTTCCGAATCCACGCCGTGCCTAGATTCCGAATCCGTGGCCACCCTAGTTTCCGAATCCGCAGTTCTAGTTTCCGAATCCGCCGTTGACCTGGTCAAAGAAGTGTGCCAAAGGAGTCAAAAAGAGTCAGACAGGCAGTAGCACCTGCATCATTGGAGGTTCTGGCGTTAAAGCCATCAAACTTCCAGCTGGACTTGGATGCACTACAGGTAGGTAGCTTTGTTTGCGTTAATTTTGCAGTAACTTTGCCTCATTTCGGCGCTTGAGGAATATGTGATCAAGAAACGAATCGAGAAAGCGAGGCGAGATATAGTGCTGGAGGACTGCAAACAAATTGGAGAGTGTGACGTGTCATTTCAGGTTGTCCCACTAGAAACACAGAGACGTGCAATGTCATCTTTACTGTCTAAAGTTCACAAACAGATTGTATTCTTCTTTATATTTGCCTTATTTCTCTACGTGAAGAAGAATGCGCACTTTGACAGGATCTCGCGGTGCTTTGGACCAAAGGCAAGGGTCTATCTGCCAAGAGTTTGACATGGAGAAGAGAGAAGGTGCCAACTATGATATTCAAGTCGGACCAGCGAGCAAGTTTTTGCATGCAAATGCTGTACATCAGCGAGGCAACATAACACATATAAAACCAGACTTAGCTCAAGAGAACAATGATTGAGTCGCAAGGGCATCGGGCTCAAGGTCATTGCTTCGGCAATTTGGGTCCGAATGTCCGACATTTCACAACTTGATGTCAGCTGACACGACAAAACAACTTCATGTGCAAATGCTTTCCTTTGGACACAACATGAGTAGTTGCCTGTTGGAGGTCCACCTGGGACATGATCCGTTTACTTTCAGCCAATTGATTCTAGTCAAGCCATGATTGGAACGCGCCAGCTAAGCCTGCGCACTTTTCTGTGCCCAAGCCCCTTCATTTGGGTCTTCTTTGCTTCTTGGCTGGCTTCCTGGGCATCTTGCGCGGCCACTGCGATTGAAGCTCCCGAGCCAGAAGTCGCACATTTGCGAGCTGGAGGAGGGCGACGACAAAATGCGATCTACAAGTATTATATTAGTAGCCTTTCCAGCGGCGCTTCAGATCTTGCTCCAAAGGCTCCTATTGACCTTGAGATTGCCAGCACGGAGCCAATTCCGGAACAAGCGGCTGAACAAGAAGCCAGGGATCAAGGGATATGGCCTGCAGTGGTCATGTGTGCACTTTTTGGTGTGGGTAGTATTCTATTCCGATTCTGCTGGATGTGCAAACGTCTGGGATGCTGCAAGTCAGGCACCATTCCTCTCCATGGGTATGCATCAGTTCCACGCTCTGAGGTAATTGGACATGAGTCCGTGGTACATGGTGCTGCTCTTACTCTGGCTCATCAACCTGTGGACCAAATCGGGGAGCCAGTGCCAACACAGTTTTTCTATATTGGGGATGAAAGTGCTGTGGAGGAGTCTCAGGCAGTGAGTGGTTACAATTCTGAATCCCTTCCAACTGAATCAGAACCAGAAGCTGAGCTGTGCCCAGATGCACCAACATCTGGTGCTGATCAATCAGATCAAGCTCAAGCTGTGGTGGAACTTCCTCGATTACCACAGCCTATGTTTCAGCCTGTCGCCGCTCAAATGCTCCCGGAATTGTATGTTCAGCCTGATGAGGCCACTTGTTCAGCCAAGGACAATTCTCGATGCCGTTTGCTCATGTTGTATGCATCCCCACTTTGCCGAATTGACTCTCGCGGACCTTCTCCACTGCCAAGCCTCGGCTTTGAGAAGGAGTGGAAAACAGTCCTGAAAGCCTCCGCAGAAGCGCAGAGTGGTCCGTCAACATTTGCAGCGCGCCCTCTCACTTCAGGACCGCCTGGACCAGTTGCCTTGTTTCTTTACAGTAAACGTAAGTGTGGTCAGTGTGGTTCATTGTGGTTCTATTGAGCAACTTGAGAGCAAGGACCAAGGATAAATACAGATACTGTAGTCAAATCTGGCGCATTCTTTTCTTTTTCTTTATACAGTACATATCATGGCTTCTTGTCTATACAACGAAATCGAAACACAATTGCGAGATCCATCCTTTTCATTCTTCGAATTCCATTCGCACCCATCCTCCACGTCATCCACTCCTGGTTCTGGTCCCTCCTCATTTTGAGGCGCATCTCATCCCGATTCTTCGATCAAACACATCTTCGGATGAACACCTTTCCACCCGCCAGCCACCTTTCCTCCATCCGCCTGCTCCCCGCGGCGCCCTTGCTCCTAGTAAAGTAGTAAGGCCAGGAGCCCCTAGTAGCATCCTTGTTCCTAGTAGTAAGGCCAGGAGCCCCTAGCAGCGCCCTTGCTCCTAGTAGTAAGGCCAGGAGCCCTTGTTCCTAGTAGTAAGGCCAAGAGCCCCTAGTAGCGTCCTTGCTCCTAGTAGTAAGGCCAGGAGCCCCTAGCAGCGCCCTTGCTCCTAGTAGTAAGGCCAGGAGCCCCTAGCAGCGCCCTTGCTCCTAGTAGTAAGGCCAGGAGCCCCTAGTAGCGTCCTTGTTCCTAGTAGTAAGGCCAGGAGCCCCTAGCAGCGCCCTTGCTCCTAGTAGTAAGGCCAGGAGCCCCTAGCAGCGGCCTTGCTCCTAGTAGTAAGGCCAGCAGCCCCTAGTAGCGTCCTTGTTCCCAGCGCCCTTGCTCCTAGTAGTGAGGCCAGGAGCCCCTTGCTCCTAGTAGTAAGGCCAGGAGCCCCTAGTAGCGTCCTTGGGCCAGGAGCCCCTAGTAGCGTCCTTGTTCCCAGCAGAAGGCCAGGAGCCCAAGTAGTGTCCTTGCTCCTAGTAGTAAGGCTAGGAGCCCCTAGTAGCGTCCTTGCCCCTAGTAGTGAGGCCAGGAGCCCCTAGTAGCGTCCTTGCTCCTAGTAGTAAGGCCAGGAGCCACTGGTAGCGTCCTTGCTCCTAGTAGTAAGGCCAGGAGCCCCTAGTAGCGTCCTTGCTCCTGGCCAGGAGCCCCTAGTAGCGTCCTTGCTTGTAGTAGTAAGGCCAGGAGCCTCCTTGCTCCCAGTAGTAAGGCCAGGAGCCCCTAGTAGCGTCCTTGCTCCTAGTAGTAAGGGCAGGAGCTCCTAGTAGCGCCCTTGCTCCTAGTAGTGAGGCCAGGAGCCCCTAGTAGCGTCCTTGCTCCTAGTAGTAAGGCCAGGAGCTCCTAGTAGCGTCCTTGTTCCCCTAGTAGCGTCCGTGTAAGATGTACAATGACCTCATGAGAAAGGATGTAGTGGATGCAAAATAACTGTTGATCAGTGGGTGTCCGCTGGCACGTAAGTTAGGAAATTATGGTTTTGGAGGAGAAAAAAGAAGTCGTTTCACAATTTTTATCCATCGATTCCCCAACTCACGTCAACCTTCTGGGCCTCCAACTGAGACCCCCATAAGTCCGCATGGTGAAGTATGTATCACGCGGCCATACACCCTGCAGCGGCACGAGCGCCCAAGTTCCAATGCACGCACGATAGACATCTGGCAGCAGCACCCTGCAGCGGCGCTAGCGCCCACACTCCAAAGCGCTCCCTGCCTTGCACCTTCAACCAGCACCTCCAAAGCGCACTCAGGCAACTTGCCCTAAACTTGAAGAACCCCAATAGCCCTCCCAAGGTGGGAAAAGAACCATATGGAACCAGTCTCAAATGCTCACACACCCGCTTGCCCGTAGGCCTGCGGGCCCACAGAGCCCGCAGGCCCGCGCAGTTCCCTATCAGCCACTTGAAGTCGGGGATGGTGAAGTGTTTGCTCGCACGAACTTCCTGTTGAATTTGCCGCTGACTTATGGCTGCGCTTTAGTTTCATGCCCATGCGATGGGCATATGTACAATCCGACCTCCTTGGTGTTCCACCTATTGTCGACCCTCCCAAGATTGTTGTTTTTGTTTCACCATTGAGCCTAGAACACAAGTTCTTGGAGAGACCTTGATTCTTGCTCAGATTTACTCCATTGTTTTGATGTCCAGTGTCCTGATGCTGCCTGCTGCCTTTTCACTACAGCATAATTTGCATGTGTGCTTTACAACAATGGTCTCCGGTCTTTGTGATGAGGCAGCCTCCAACGAGCTTTGTCTGCAGCTACTTCGGGCAACACAATTCTTCACCTTAGTGCACATGGAACACCTGATGGTCTAATACTCGAGGATGGAAAGGGCAGCGGCTATGTGTTGAGCTGTGACCTGCTTCAAGAGATGTTGGCATTGAGAGAGAAGTCAAACGGCTGCGAAGTGGTCGTGGTGAATGCATGCCACTCTCGCTCTGTGGGTGAGCTTTTAGCAGATTCCGTGCCTCATGTGGTATGTTGCAATGATCGTGTCTTAGACACCTGGGTGGACCTTTTCATGCGCAGCTTCTACACTGCGCTTTTCGGTGGGAGCACAGTGGCCTCAGCGTTCAGCACTGCCAGCTTGCAACTGCAGTGCCAGCCTGGGATTCCCCCAGAGGCGGGTTGGTCAAGTGCAAAAGACAAGAGAAGAATATAGAAGGTAAGAGTTTCTGTAATAAGGCTCCCTTTAAGGGGGGCCTTATTCCAAGGGACCCTTACCTTCTTTCTTCTCTTGGACCACAGACTGTGTTGTGCATTCATTGGCCAGGCCGCTCAGTGCTTTTGCTTGCTGCCTGAAGCTAACGTGCGCTTCTCAGTACCCGAATTGTGTGAACTACTTTGTAGATCGTTGTGGGGTGGGAATTATATATTATCCCGTAGGAAGACCGATTTTTTTCATACATCACTACCTGTTGGGAAAGGAAAATGACAGGACATGAAAGAGCTGACATCAAACGCAGTATTTTGTGCATTAGAATAACCCAGGAAATGAAGGGGAATGAGTGCAAGAGGAATGTTTGGAATGACAAGACAATGAAAAGAAGCCCTTCTTTTGCTGCAAGGGTCAAAATTGTTGCACAGATACTGATGGATTTCATGAGCCCATGTGTATCTCGTGCAGCAAAAGATTTGCAAACCTGCTAGACTTTTCTGCTTGACTTTGTTTTCACCGGAGATGTTGAGCCAGGCCGAGGATGGTTCTGGGTTCCCACACATCTCCCATTGTTCTCCAATGTTTCCCACTGAACAAGGACGCTACTAGGGGCTAACATACTACACACACAACTTTGAATGCGCAAGATTGTTTGCCGAGGCCCATGACGAAGTCATGTTTGCACGGAGGCTGCTCATGCCGACAACAACAAGCTTGCTGTAAAAAAGGCAGTCATTGCAGAGATCATTTCATGCGACATGTCAGGCCTGCTGTGCGCAAATCCTTAAGGACAGAATGAACTACTTCAAATCAAACAGGCCTTTTGAACAATCTGCCTGGGCCGGAATTTTGCTCCAGGATTTCCAGCATGCCCTTTGAACAGCCGCTGTTGGGGTCTGAGGTGCTTCTTCTTCGGAGTGCCTCTCATAAGTACCATAATTGTCGACTGTACACTGTACACCCAGTAGAGTCGAGCCTTTGTGTGTTTCGAAGCCCTTTCACCATGTGAGTGTGGCGAACGGTTCTCTGAGCTAAGAAATTAGTCAGTGAGTGCATTCAGGATCCTTGTGTCATTCGAAACGTCTT